AGCCCCTCAGCTCAAGAGAGACAGGGAACTGCTGGAGAGAGTCCAGCACAGAGCCACAAAGGTGATGAAGGGAGTGGGACATCTCCCTTATGAGGAAAAGCTGAAGGAGCTGGGTCTCTTTAGCTTGGAGAAGAGGAGGCTGAGGGGTGACCTCGTTAATGTTTATAAATGTCTAAAGGATGAGTGTCAGGAGGACAGAGCCAGGCTCTTTTGAGCGACGTCCAATGACAGGACAAGGGGCAATGGGTACAAGCTGGAACATAGGAGGTTCCACAAATATAGTAGGAAAAGCTTTTTCACTGTGAAGGTGACAGAGCCCTGGCACAGGCTGCCCAGGGAGGTTGTGGAGTTTCCTTCCTTGGAGACTTTCAAAACTCGCCTGGACGCGTTCCTGTGTGACCTACTGTAGGTGATCCTGCTCTGGCAGGGGGGCTGGGCTAGATGATCTTTTGAGGTCCCTTCCAACCCCTGACATTCTGTGATTCTATGATTCTGTGATTCACTAAAGAAAAGGAGTGCAAAGCTTCACAATACAAATACATTCCTGGGAAAGGAAGGGATTAAGGAGGGAAGCAGTGTTGGCTAGGATTAAAAAAAAAAAATCATTTTGAAGACCAAAGTTGTAGGTTGTTTTTCTTAATGTTAGCTTTAAGTACCCAACAAAAGAACGGACGCTGGTTGGTAGAAGTCAATCCCTTACCTTTGAGCCTCAAATGACCTGCTTGTGTGTTTTGGATTTCCAGCACTCACCTTGGCTATTCCTCAGTTCAACGAGTCCTTAAGGTCATTTGCTAGCACACCTTGGCCCTTGGAACCACAGAATTACCTGTCCTTCATGGAGTTTGAGATGACATTTCGTCCAGATTTAGAGACTGGTGTCCTTTTGTACAGCTACGACACAGACAGCAAGGACTTCCTCTCCATTAATATGGTGGCTGGATATGTGGAGTTTAGGTTCGACTGTGGCTCAGGAACAGCTGTTATCAGGTAAGCAGTTTTGCTTCTGTTTCCTTTTCAATAGTGCCACGATGCTGATTCAGGAAAGGAGTGGGCTGGAAAGACCATCAGTCTCTAGTGCCTGCTTCTTCTAAGGGCGCACAGAAACTCCAGAACTGCATACAAGAGGACAGGATTTTCTTCCTACATACATTTGTGTTTCAAAGCTTCATTATCAGTGTTACAAATTTTGTTCTATGCGGTATTGCAGAAATTCCCTTCTGGCCTCCGTGACATTGTACTGTAGCCAATTAGAGGATCTGTAAATATTTTATGCATATACTTTCTAGCCACCGGATTGCACAATATTGCATTTGTGAGCATCCTACTCCCAGATCTCAAGTTCCAGGCAGTAAGTACTGGGCTGGAGGTATGACAGGAAGATATTCCTCTAGGTCCCCCCTTTCCTCATAGTGATGGGTTCTGAGGATAGAATAGAATAATAGAATAGAATAATAGAATAGAATGTGTTTGGCTAGAAGGGACCTTTAAATGTCTTCTAGTCCAATTCCCCTGCAGTGAGCAGGGACTTCTTTAACTAGATGAGGTTGCTCAGAGCTCCATCAAGCCTGACCTTGAATGTCTCCAGGGATGGAGCCTCCAGCACCTCTCTGGACAACCTGTTCCACTGTTGCACCACCGTCATCATAAAGAACTTTCCCCTAATATCTAAGCTAAATCTACCCTTTGAGGCTAATACCCAATTTATGTAACTTCAGCAGTCTAAAAGATGAATATACGGTTTAAATGAGTGATCCAGGCTCCTAAACAAAGACAAACCTTTTGAGAATGATTTATCACATCCTAAGATTAATGTCTAGGTTAGGAAAAATAAAATGCCTCAAAAGGGCTGTTCTCTCTCTGTGTAACTTGAGTGCCCAGTCTCTGGGCAGTTGTTCCCTGGGCTCGTCTGAAAAGGTAGTGGGCTGAGCAGGCACTCACTACCTTGGATATGTGGTCCAGGCGGCTGCCAGTTTGACTAGGCTGACATACTATTTAGAAATAATCTCTATAAAGCTTATGCAAAATGTGTACACTGTCTGCAAGTCTTACATACCGTATGTTTTCTGTGGATAGACATTAGGAATTTTGGCTACACTGTGATTAGGAGAAATGTACTAATTTTCCACTGGATGAGGACTGATGCAAACAAACCCATTCAGATGACAAAGTGAGAAATGAAATTTCAAGGAAACAAATGCAAAATAATGCATAACTCTTAACAATGCAAAGCTGTAGCAGTACAGTTAGCATTGTCAGAGAAAGTTCCTAGAGTTATGGTGGATAGTTCTGTGACAGCAACAGCTAACTGCTTAGAGACAGATACTGAAATGTAAGTACAATGAAGAAGATTATTAGGAACAGAATACGAACAATGACTCTGCAAAAATCCACACAGTGTGCCGTCTTGAACAGTTGCTCTCATTGTCTCCTTCTCTGGAGACATTCAAAACCCACCTGGACACGTTCCTGTGTGACGTACTTAAGAGATTCCTACTCTGGCAGGGCAGTTGGACTCAATGATCTTTTGAGGTCCCTTCCAACCCCTAACGTACTGTGATTCTTTGATTCTGTGTGATTCATTCTGGTCACTTCATTTCAGAAGAAATTAGCAAAATTATAAAAGAAGAGTAGTGTTGATATCAAGGGAAGGGAAACAAACAGCTTCCACAAATACAGCAGGACCCTTCAACCTGGACAGGAGTTTGGTGGAAGTATGATAAAGGTTTTTAAATTGTGAATGAAGTGGGGATAAATGAGGGAATGATTATTCTGTATTTTTTTCAGTATGGAAGAATTAGAAGGAGCCCAATGAAACTGTGATCTAAAAAGTAGCAAAGAAAATAAGACTTTTTTCCAGACAGCACATAAATAAGTTGTGGAAACTAATTGTCGCAGCATGTTACAGATGCCAGAACTATAAATAGGTTAAAAAAAACCCCAAACATGGGACAAATTTCAAGAAAGCTCCATTGAGAAAGATCAAACGCAATTGTACGGATGCAGCCTCTGACTCCGGAAATTGCTAAATGACAAGTTGCCAGAAGCCAGGAGGATATATCAAGGGAAGAATTGCTCCATACTTGCCCTATTTTTTTCTCCTGCTGAGAAGAGGCAGAAATAGCTTATGTCAGAGACCTTTGCTCCAACTCAAAACAGCCCTGCTTACAACAACCTTCAATCTTTCTCTAATTACAGCCATCTAAAAAGACATTAAAGTAGACTTTTTAATTTTTTTTTTCCCCTGCAAGGGTACTATAGTGCTTGGGAACACCTTGGTCTAAAGTTTAACTGAGATGTAGGCTTGTAAAATGTGGTGGGAGCTACAGGCATGTGCCTGGGAGCAGAAACTGTCCCCTTCTGTTGGAAAGGAGAAGACTGAGCAGGACACCATCTAGCACCTGGGTCACATGCACTGAGGAGGAAGAGCAAGGTGAGATAGGTGGGTAACAGGACCAGCAAGCTTCACTGAAAGCTGTCAGGATGTCCTGTTCGGCTCTTTTTCTAGATAACATGTGCAACTCACACCCTGACATCGGCTCTGTCAGTGTTAAAATATATGGATTACACATTTTTTCATGCCTGCTTAGCCAACATCCACTTAAAAGTCTGCCTTGATCTTCATCACACTGCTTCGTGCCTACCTTTTATCCTAAACAGGGATGTAATGCTGGTCATCCTGACTATCTCTTCCACAGGACCAGTCTGTTAAATATTATAATATATTAATGATTGAGGATGAGGCAAGCTTGTCTATGTAGATCAGCAACAGCTCTAGGAAAGCTGACATTGGTGACACTTGGGTTTTACCAGCACAATATGTGCACAGAGCTCATGAAGGAGCAGGGACACAGGCAGAACCTGAGCTGTTTACCAAGATGTTTCAGAGGTGAATTTGTTGTCACCTGAGATTTGTCTTGGCCAGGCATTCACGGGATCAAGATCTTCATAATTTGGTGTATTTTTTAGGTTTCATTTTTTTATGAGGAAAAGCAATCCTTAACCCCACAGCACATGAAGAGCCTGAAGTGTTCAAATGCCTGCCGAAAGCATTGCCAAACTCGAATTGGTATCAAAAAGCCAAGAAATAGTCAGCAGCTCTGAAATGATGACTCTACAAGGCTTAGTCATCCCTAATTGTAATTAAATCTAGCAGATCAAAAGGGTTAGCACGATCAGCAGAGGAGATGATATGTATGTATCCACTGATTTTAGGTGGCCAAACCTGTCTGAATCACACAGAATCACAGAATCACAGAATGTCAGGGGTTGGAAGGGACCTCAAAAGATCACCTAGCCCAGCCCCCCTGCCAGAGCAGGATCACCTACAGCAGATCACACAGGAACGCGTCCAGGCGATTTTTGAAATTCTCCAAGGAAGGAAACTCCACAACCTCCCTGGGCAGCCTGTGCCAGGGCTCTGTCACCCTCACAGGGAAGAAGTTTTTCCTAATATTTTTGTGGAACCTCCTATGTTCCAGCAGCAACCTTATCCTATCACTGGACATCACTGAAAAGATCCTGGCTCCGTCCCACTGACACTCCCCCTTGATGTGTTTATAAACAGTAACGAGGTCACTCCTCAGCCTCCTCTTCTCCAAGCTAAAGAGACCCAGCTCCTTCCGCCTTTCCTCATCAGGGAGATGTTCCACTCCCTTCAGCATCTTTGTGGGTTCCTATGTCTGGTTCCTATATATGTATATATTGACTTCTTCAGGGTGATTAAATTCTATTACCTATTGATTTATGTGGGGTAGTTAAACCCCAAATGCTACTACATAAAAAAAAAGGACCAGGCAATAGCACTGAAATTTTTTCATGTAGGTTTTATGTAGGTTTTCTGAACTAAGTGTCAAAGTAATATCGCCAGCATCATCCACATATATGAAAATGGGCTTTGAGAAAATTTGCAGGAGCAAAATAGATAGAACAGGAAGATTTTTAAGTTCTTGTTGACTGTTCAGGCTTAAAAAAAATTTTTTTTATTTTCACATTTTTGAAGTTACAGACCTTTTAAAATCAGCATCTGAATAACTGTTGATTCACTGTTTCAAATCACTTTTTTCAGTTCTTTCATTTTGAAATGTATCGTTAAATTTTTAATTTATCTCTTTTTTTCTTTTACAAATATAAGCAGCTTGAAAATACAAGTAATTATTTCACCCAAACATATTTTTTTTTTTCATATTTTCATTGAAAGCTAGATTTCTGATTCTTCCAACTTGACCAGTGAATCAAAACCAAGTTTTCATTGCTCCTGGAGGAAAGGCTGCAATATAACAATTTGATATAAAATGCTTTAAATAATGTAGTAAAATGACACTTGAAAACACAATATAAAGTTCTGTAGAATTTGTAAAGGGCAATGTGGTTTTGCCCTTTATACAGGCTGCTATTCATATTAGTGCTGAACTAATAAAGACTGTAAGAAGAGTTTTAAAATGCTTCCTTTGAGACTGGTGAATACTTTGCACAACTGGGGATTATTGTTCCTAGCCAGGATCTCGTCAGGGTCATATTTTAGTTACTTCCCCTTAATGTACAGCAGGCAGGCTCTGTGTGTGTGTGTGTAGATGTCACTGTACCAGGCTGCATAAATAGAGCTGATAAGCCAACACAAAGTAGTTCTGTTTTAAAGGAGGGTGAAGAATGTGGGACTAGACCCACCATTAAGTGGGAAGCTTTGTCTTCAGGCTTATGTCATTGTGAAATGAGGATGTACAGCCGAGACAAAAATCTGTCTTTATGCATTATAAATGACTAAGCAGAAGAATTAGCTCAGAGGTAGATGAAATGGATGCTGACTGCAGAAATGATTTATTTATAAATAAAAGTAGAGTGCTTGTTATTTGTTGTCGAAACATGGTCTCATTTTCCTTTGCTGTTGGGGCCCAGCAGTTACATTATTTCCTTATAAGGAATGAAACAGGATGATTTATTTTTATTTAGAAAATCGTCCCAGAGGACTTGACTTTATAGCATCACAACGATATTTGCAAATATCAGAAAGGCAAAAGTGTAAAATACTTGAAAGTTTTCTTCCCCTTGAAACAGGAGTGAAGAACCTGTCAGTCTGGGTCAGTGGCATGAGTTGCGAGTGTCTCGCACAGCGAAGAATGGTATTTTGCAAGTGGACAAACAAAAGCCAGTGGAAGGGATGGCAGAGGTGAGCATGTGTCGTGGCTTGTCATGAATGTGGCTGTTAGACTATAAAACGACTGCATGGTAAACTGCCCAGGCTGCTCTTGAGGCTCTTACAAGCTTAAAAAGGCAAAAACTCTCTTAAACCCCAAACTGGAAATTTGCGCATCAAGTTTTCCCTCTGAGGACATGGATTGTTGTTAAGGCAGCTGAAATCACAATCTTACCTGCTCCTGCCAGGTAACTGGGCTCACAGTTAATGTTTGTTTCATACCTTTTCTTGAGGTTTTTTTTCTTGGTACTCACTGTTTGTGACTAAGTCTGTTGAATAACATGTGCATTGTGAAATGCATCACCTGGAAAAAGATAATGTTGAAAATAATGTGCACAAAGCCCTTTCTTTACCTCTCTCTCAATACTGTGCTGGAAAAGTGGTCCACGAGAAAATTGCTTGATTGTCTTCTCCTTGCAAAAGTAATTTTCAGGACAGAGTAAGGGCTTCAATACTCAGACAATTATGACTTGCATTTTACTCTTCCCTCGGTAAGAGGTCATAGTGAGTCAGATTTGTAATAAGATGAAATTTTACCGTACCACGTGGAGTATTCACTCCAAGCACTCAGATGCATTCACAGAGATAATTTTATCCCAAGAATCTGAGGCTAGAACTACTGAGAAAATGTCCTTTATTCTTTCCTAGTGGAAAGTGTGGCCAGAAAAACAGACTCCATATCATGCTAGCAGAAGAATTTACCTTTTTTCTGCAAACTGGGAAGCTATTTAAAACTTCAACTTTCCTTGAAAAATTTGGATAAATTGAAATTCCAGTTGTCTGTCAAGAAACAAATTGGGTGAGAAATATTCAAATGTAGCACATGAGACCTAGATAGGTGGGTCAAGAGAAATACTCCCTTTTTTTTTCTCTGAGTATGACAAGTGCAGCTACAGAAGGAGATTGTCTGGGAGCTGCCAAAAAAGAAATCACAGGAGCTTCTGCAAGACTGGAATTATACAGTTATCCTGTCCTTAGCTGTTCAACATCTTTCAGTTCATGCCAGTACCCTGATTAGTCCCATCAGGTGTCCTGAGCAACTGTTTCTGGTAACTAATGCAAACTCAATGTTTCTTTCTTCAGCCCCATAACTTACTATGGATCATCGTAGACATTGGAAACAATAAATTACTCTCTGTTGCCTGGACATTGCTCTGATTTTAAAGTTCTGAACTTCATTCTGGTTCTAGATTTACATCAGTGTGTCTCAAGTTATTGCAGTCAGAAATCACAAGTCAGTCTCCTTTCTTTCTTCCTTCAGTATTCCCATTTTGAAATACTTGAAATATTTTGGCTAGTTCTGATGAGGATAAAGCCCAGTCAGTAAAGAGTATCCTACAGTGTCTTTCTCAAGAGAATTTCCAAAGAAATGCAATTAACAGAAGTAAAGAGGTGTGAAAGTAAGCTATAACCTCTGTTGTAGACTAATCTGAAGATACAGGCATGATTCCAGCTAGCGTAATAAAATGTGGTTCTTATGTTTCTTGCAGGGGGCTTTCACACAGATTAAGTGCAGCTCTGAAATATTTGTTGGTGGAGTCCCTAGTTATGATACTGTGAAGAAGAACTCTGGGATCCTCAGACCCTTCAGCGGCAGCATCCAGAAGGTATGTGCCCAGAGAAACACCCTGGAGTCACTTATTTCCATACCATCAAGTGCATACTTTAGGTGGAAACCTGCCATTATATCACTGACAATATTCAAAATAATCCAGTATTTCACCTCAGGAGCCCACCATGAAGTACTTTAAACACATATTTCACGACGAAAAGTCACTCCAGCTTTAACAGTCAATAAGTATTACCACTGCCAGTCCCCATGTGCATTTCCATACTGTACTAATAAATGAGCAGAAGCCATATGGGATCAAGCCTAGAATGACACACGAAGCTCCGCACAGATTAGAGTGATTAGATCAGGATGCCCTGTATCATCATATATAAATAAAAAAATTATAGATAGATAGATAGATAGATAGATGAATGTAACCGGTGCAGTAATGACTGATAAAGAAGGTGCAAATTAGAGTGAATCCCAGTTCAACTAGCATGTTCTTATACCACACAGTAGTTGCTCATCTCACTGCCTTTCCCTTTTAGAATTTCACATGGGTCACATAAATAGAGGAGGTCTTTTCATTGTTCACAGGCATTAGGTGGGGTCAGGTATGTGTGGATTTGGTTGTCTTCCTGAGAACAAATCTGTAAATTCATAGTAAGTCCTAATAAGTAATCAAAAGAAGGTTCAAACTGAAATAACATTTGGTCTTCCTAGGCATACTTAAAATAGTTTGGATAAAGCTTAAAGGGTGGCCCTGGACTCTTAGTTATAAATGAGTGAATTATTGCATCAGATTTACTTAACAAATAAAAAATTCTGATAGTGCATCTCATCATGATTGATCAATGACAGAAAGGTAACTACGATTCAATATAAATGATTATATCACTGAGTCCAACATTTTTCACTATCTTTGTCAGCTGTCTAGCAGAAATCTTGAAGTTCAAGAAAGCTGGGGCACTGTGTAATAATGATGGGAACAGATTAGTCATACAAACATAATTGGAATGGTACACTTGACTAATTGGAATGGTAGGCTTGACTAAATACAGTGCATTTTGGAGTGCAAGATAGGAGCATTAGGAGCAATGAACATAGGTCCCACTTAAAAGGTGAAGGGTTGTACCCTAGAGAACAGAGGCACTGGTAAGGATTGGCAAATGCCAAATATGAGCACTGACATTTCTGATGTAGTTAGGAGGGTGGATTTGCCTTTTCAAGAGGCCTGAATGGGATGTCAGAGAAGAGTATTGCCTGTCTTTTGGAGACTGGGGGACTATTACTTGACTACTGAATTTACACGTAGTAAGATTTTGGAGAATTTTACAGAAATAAAGCTACAAACGTCATTAAGTACTGAAAAATGTGCCGTGTATAGAAAGACCTAAGATCACAATCTGTTTAGTTTACCCAGATCAAGTTAAGAAGAAACTTTATTGTGGTCTGCTAGTGAGACTTTACTGTGGTCTGCTTTGAGTACCTGGCTCTGAAATGAGGCAGAAAAAGGCATGATGAGAAACAATGGCTGGAAGCAGAAGATAAGTTTAAGCATAGAAATAACAGACACATTTTTAACAGTGGAGTGTTATTCACTTCCAAAACAACATAGCCAGAAGTATTGAAGGAAGCTGAAAAGGTGGTGGGTCTTCACTCCTCCATCTGTACAATGGGTTGGATGTTTTTGTGCTGTTAGGATTGTTTAGTGCTGTTTCAAACATAGTATATATGTTTGTCATGATGCCCAAAGTTCATCGTCTGAGTTGTGCAGGAGCCAGAATAACTATTACCATTCTCATTTCTGGCCTTAAAATCTCTTTGTTTGTGAAAATGGACTTCTTACTTTCATGTAATCTCTCTGCCAAGATATCAGATGAGTTTATATAAACATCAGTTTATACTGGAGAACATATATTGCTGACACAGAAGAACACCAATATTTAACAATTCTCTTCATTTTACATACAAAGAGTTTTGTGAAGTCATTAATTATGGTTTTCATCCATCTTAACTCTAGCTTCTTTCAGGCAAGACAAGATACTAGAAAGCAACAGAAAATGTGAAAAACAATCTGTTCTGCTTAGTATTTCTGTTGTCAACACTCGTCTCCTGGGGGTTTCCTGATCTCAGAAATGCTTTTCCTCAGCACTGCTCATCTAATTTTACAGTCCTAGCTCATAGCTCAGCTACAAAGCAGGCACCAGTGTTTAGACATAAGGCTGGCAAATCTCACACAGCTTCACCCCATATGGGGGTTGCCTAAGGCTATGTCTTAAAACACAAAAGAAATTAATCTCTAGTGGATCAGAGTGAGCAGTAGAATGAGTTGGATCTCTTGTGACTGGAAAACACACACTACAAGAAATGGGGGTTTGGCTGAGTTTTGAAGGTTACATTTCTCTGAAGTCTTTAGAGAAGTCTTCTGACTAGCAGTACAATACTCGGAATTTGGAAGTTTTTAGCATGTGTTTTTATCCTTTTTTTTTTGTTTTGGTTTGGTTTTTTGTTTGTTTTGGTTTTGGTTTTGATTTTTCAACATATAGATTATCTTAAATGATCGAGCAATAGATGTGAAACAGGATTTCACTTTTGGAATCAACCTGGTGAACGCTGCCCACCCCTGCGTGACCTCACCATGTGCAAATGGAGGCACTTGTGTTCCCAAGAAGGACAGCTATGAATGTGACTGTCCCCTGGGCTTCGATGGGCAACATTGCCAAAAAGGTAATGATGGCTGCATTTCATAGAGTCATGGAATCATAGAATGCACTGGGCTGGAAGGGACATTTAAAGGTCATCTAGTCCAACCTCCTGCAGTGAGCAGGAACATCTTTAACTACATCAGGTTGCTCAGAGGCCTGTCAAGCCTGACCTCGAATGCTTCCAGGGATGGAACCCCCACCACCTCTCTGGGCAACCTGTTCCAGTGTTTCACCATCCTTATAATAAAGAACTTCTTCCTAATACATAATCTGGATCTGCACTGCTCCAGTTTAAAACCATTGCACCTTGTCACTACACCCTTGTAAACAATCTCTCCCTAGCTTTCCTGTATGTCCCCTTCAGGTACTGGAAGGCTGCTCTAAGGTCTCCCCAGAGTCTTCTCCAGGCTGAACAGCCCCAACTCTCTCAGCCTGTCGTCTAAGGAGAGATGCTCCATCTCTCTGATCATTTTTGTGGCCTCCTCTGGGCCCACTCCAGTAGGTCCACATCTTCCTTATGTTGAGGGCTCCACAGCTGGGTGCAGTACTCCAGGAGAGGTCTCCCCAGAGAAGAGCAGAGGGACAGAATCACCTGCTGGCCGTGCTTCTTTTGATGCAGCCCAGGAGGTGGTTGGCCTTCTGGGATTCAAGGATGCATTGTCCAGCTCTTGTCCACCAGCACTGCAAGTCCTTTTCTGCAGGACTGCTCTCAATCCCTTCATTCGCCAGCCTGTGCTGATAATGGACGTATTCAGAGATCTGGAGTTGATCACAAAAGTAAGAGTGATTTAGTGCGTACAACTGCTATTGTATACATGCCTTGAAATAGAAACCCTGGGGTCCAGAACTCCCTTTGTATCCATGTGCATTCAATGTATGCCACGAAGAATTCACTTGTTTATTTAGAAACATGGTAACTGTTATCCCAGCACAGAGCTGTGATCCACAGATAGCAGCAGCCTGGTATCTGGTTGCTTGTGGTGGCCATCCCTAATTATGCAGTGCTATACAAAGGGGGAATTGCTGCTAACGTCCTCCAGCCAGTGATTATGTTGCATCCTGAAACATGAGCATTGATAACCCTTGTAATTTTAGCTTCCCTAGGGCTCACAACAAATGCTGTTCTCAGATACAGGTCATTTTTAGACTCTGACTATTCTGATGCTATTTTCACCATCTGCACAAACCCTATAAGGGATTTGCTATATATTGGTATAGCGATGGAGACCACCCAGTAGGAAAACTTGTCCAGATTGCTTGTTATTCTTTCCTCAGAGCCACGAAAATAACTCAAACCTCAGATTCAGGAAACTGCTCAGATTGTGAGAAATAACCTGCTTTGGGTTATTCCGCTAGATGGAGATGTTTCCCTTCTGTCAGGATTGAGCTTAAAAAATTCCCAAAGGAAGGTTTTGTAATGTAACAGTGAACTCAGTTCAAAGGAGCTGACTGACATTATTGTCTTCACCCACTCCTTCATTTCTCACAGGCATTAACTTCAAAGTTAAAAGTGGTGGTTTTGATTAAATGGTGATTAATAGATTGGCCTTTTCTTCCAAAAAAAATAGTATCTTAGAACAAAAACATTTTATTAAAATACAATGCAAGAAACTCATTTGCTTACGTTGTTGTGGTCTAACTAATAGCTGGAGCAACGTCATTTATCCCAGCTTCTCTGTAGGGAAGAAGGAGAATTGCAATTTTGTTTCTCCAGGTTTGTGCAGGATGCGAAGCTCCTGACTTCAAGATGGTATCTGCAGTGGTCCCAAGGGCTCTGAGGGCAGATGAGGCGAGTGAATGCTATGCAGCTTGGCTGTGTGGTTGCCTGCCCATTCAGTGAGACCCTTAGGCCACAGCTCCTCACTGCTCATCTGCTTCTGACCTGTGCTAAGCCGTGAAGGCAGTGTGCTGAGCTGCCCACCATGGCATCTGCCCCTGGCATGGGCACTGTTGCTGCTTGGCTGGCATGCCACCGCTCACCTCCCTGTCATAACCTGAATGGGCGTCCAGGCTTTCAGAGACAGTCTGAAGGGCCTTGTGCCATTGGTTTAGGTTGAATGCAGGGTGTTGTTTCCTCTGTGATTCTGTGAACCTTAATTTATTTTTAAGGGTCTTCAAGAGCATGAGTTCTTGCTGCCTGTGGCTGCTCCTCAGGTGCCTCTCTACCCCCCTGCAGTTGTGCAGCCTCAGTGGCCACCAAAAATCCACGTTTTTGTTGATGGATGTGCAAAGAGCATGAAAGTCTCTCCTGAATTATAGAATCATAGAATTGTTTAGGTTGGAGAACAGTAGAACTGTTAATGTAACACTGCCAAATCCACCGCTACTTTCCTAATATCCAACCTAAACCTCGCCTGGTGCAACTTGAGGCCATTTCCTTTTGTCCTATCACTTGTTACCTGAGAAAAGAGACTGACCCCCACCTCACTACAACCTCCTTTCAGATAGTTGTAGAGAGCGATAAGGTCTCCTCTCAGCCTCCTTTTCTCCAGGCTACACAGCCCCAGCCTCCGTTAGCTGCTCCTCATGAGACTTGTTCTCCAGACCCTTCACCAGCTTCATTGCCCTTCTTTGGACACACTCCAGCACCTCAACATCCTTCTTGTAGTGAGGGGCCCAAAATCAAACTTTAATCCATGACAGCCTTGATAAATCCAGAGCAGACTTTTCAAACCAATTACCGATGTTTCTTTGGTAGAGTGTAGACACAGCTAAGGCAGAATGCACATGTGTGTCCACTCCTATTTCAAAATGGAGTTCTGGTTTGTGCATTCAGTGTGCGAGAAGCTGAAGGTGCAGTCTTCAAGCTGCCTGCTCCTGGGCTACTCTGACCCCACACCCTGGAAAAATAAAGTGCTTGTGAGGAACTACAGCTCATTCTCCATAATTATACATGCCACTTTTAAAACTCAACTTAAATGATTCTGGTATGAAATATATGAGATACTGCTTCATATTGTAATGCGTCATTGGCTAAGGATTCAGTAGAGTTTCTGCTGGCATTGCTGGGCTTTATATCTTCTGTCCAAGCTATGAGGAGTGCTAAAGGTATTTTTATACTTAACTGTAAGGTGAGCTGGAACAGCAAACTTTTCCTTTCCCCTGCCTAGAGCTGATTTCTAGGTAAACCATGGCAAGTCACTAGCATTTGAAAACTAGGACTAGCAAAGGGATTTGATGCTGGCCCTAACTATCTACATCACTGTGTGTTTTGAGCAGGTAAATATAAATACTTGGGGTATAACAGCAATAAAAGAGTGATATATGCAAATGGGAAGCGAGGATCAGGCATTTACAGAATGGTGGGCATGAAATGGGGCAAAGGGGGATTTTTATGCTGTAAAAAAATAAACCGAGAATGTTCTTGTTTTGTTTTGTGCTGACTCACTGCAGAGTGTGGAAGTTACTGCCTAAACAGTAAGTACTGCAGATGATGTGAAAACTGCTCTGTCATTGTGCTTCTCTGTCTGCTCTAGCAAGCTGAATGCTGGATTTCCATTAAGCCTGGCAAGCTTGTGTCAATAAGCCAAAATACTTTCTGGGGTTGTATAGTACTTTCTTAAACCTTGTCCTGTTGATACTTTAAACTCCATCCAGACCATCTGCCAAGTGCAGAGTGGAGGCTGTAGAGCTGGTCCCTGTGTTCACAAAGTGGCAGGGCCAGGCAGCCAGCTGAGTGCTTTGTAGAGGTAGGTGCTAACTTTGGGCTGCCTTGCAGTTCAGAGCTCACTCACACTTGTCATGAGAGCTTTGGTGCCTCTCTGCCAAACAGTGATGAGCAGAGAGTGAAGTCCTAGGTCTCCTTACTACTGGGCCTGTTCTCTTCCAGTTGCAAAGATCCTGCGTGCATCAAGGGCGTTGCTAAAATTTACTTGGTTTTCTGCAGTCAAATTCAGTGTGGCAAGTGAAAAGGGTACAGAATAGCAAGCAGACATAATTGCCCACCAAGCTCCATAGTGGAAATCAGAGTGCTAGAGCAAGGGCAAGGGCTGCTGTGTGGCACGGGCACCTTTTCCTGC